AAAAAAAAAAAAAAAAAAAAAAAAAAAACACATCTTAGTATAACCAATACCTTCTCAGCTTCGCATCGAAGCTAAAAAAAAAATTTGTCAATTTCAGAGTTGTAAGAGGTCAATTATAAGTATATCAGGTCATTGATTCTGAAAATAACCTTAAGAACTTCCTTATCATCTCCTTAGTAAGATAATGTGTATTTTTATTTTTGTAAGATTAGAAGATTTTAAAGTTACTTAGATTTTGTCATAACTATCCAAATCTAATATTAATATTGTCATATGAAAGATACAGGCCTGAAAAATATAATACAATATTAAAATGTTTAAATCAAATTAATTTTACATTGACGTAAAAGTAAAAAAGAATATGAATTTTTCTTCGAATTTTTACAATAATCAAAGCTTAAAACAACGCTTTCATACACATGAAAACATTATCATTAAATTGGAATGAAAAAAAAACAATAGTACAATACAGTATAGTAGCGCGGTACAGTATGGACGTAGCATTGCTGGGACAAGCATATATGATATCTGACAGTGATTAAAATCACTAACATAAGAAACACTTCGATGCAAATCTGTAGATAATGTTAAATTTAAAAAAATTGGTGGATTATTCCATAAGCAAAATGAACTAATTATTTATATACTGATTACAACTTTTATGGAGTGTAATATATTAATAAATTTAGATTTAGTCATTATTAAATATATAACAAATTTGTTCAACTTCGACGGTCATTTGCATATAGAACATGGGTTGTCTGGACAACATCTTTTTCAACTTATAGTACGTAACATAAGCTTTAATATAATATATGTTTAAAGGACGCTGTATTTCTGGAACATTTTCAAAAGTTATGTTGAAAAAGTTAAAATTTGTGTAAAAGTTATTTTGAATCACCCCTGTAAGCAGGTAAAGGAAAATACCTAAGAAATTTTTACAAAAAAAAATATTTTGATTCGTTCATTTTTAAAAAAGTCATTACAGTTTTATGAAAAAAAAATGACGAAATTTACCTATTTTATAAATCATAATTTTTTGTATGATTTCCATCACTTAAGGGAATTGAGAGAAAAATTATCAGTTTTTGAGGATTTTTTCATTTAAAAATGGTTTGTGATCTTTTGACGTAACGTTGAGAAAAATTAATCTCGTGAAAGCTGAGAAAAAGAAGTAAAAAACACAATAAAAAAATAATAATAAACCCAGCACAGTGGGGTAACGGCACAGTGGTAACGTAGCATAATAGGGTCCAGTATATATGATATCTGACATTAAAATCGCTATCAGAAAATACGCTTTGATGCAAATCTTTAGATAGTGTTTAATTTTAAAAAAAATGGTGAATTATTCCAAAAGCTACATGATCTCCTATTTCCTTATTTATATTCTGATTTTAAGTTTTATGATTTATAAGTGTAATATATGAATATATATTTATAAAGGGAAATGGTGTTATTTTAAAATAAAGTATGTCGAATGAAAGAGGGATATAAATATAATCTTTCTCATAAAAAAATTGTATTGATCCATATACTTTTTAATAAGTTATAGCATTATAAAGTTAAAAATGTAAAATATAAAATCGAAAATGTTCACACAAAAGTAGTATTCGGTAGCCATTTTTACCGTGATGACAAAATATAGTCCAAATTTTTTTTTTTCCATATTAAAATATATTACATTAGCTTTAATTTAATATATATATATAAAAGTGTCAGACTTTCCGGAACACTTTCAAAAGTTAAAAAAGTTCTACTTTTTATATATATTTTTAAGTTTCGAACCCTTCTGTAGACAGGTAAAGGGTTAGCTTTATAAAAAAATATATCAAATAATAGGTAAAGACATCATGCATCTATAAAAAAAAATTATATTGATGTGGTAATTTTTAAAAAAGTTATTGCAAATTTAAGTAAAAAAAATTGAATAAATATCGAAAATTAGCGATTAAATTTGTAATTTTTTGTAATGAGATTTCCCTCATTTAAGGGGACGAAGGTGATTTTTTCAATTTTTGAGGGTAATGTTTTTGACTAGATACGATTTGTGATCTTTTGACATATCGTTGAAAGAAATCGGTTTGGTGAGAGCTAAGAAAAAGTGGTAACAGACACACAAATAATAATTAAAATAACAAAAAACACATCATGTTAAAACTAATACCTTTTCAGCTTCGCATCGAAGCTAAAATAAATAAGCTATTCATATATTCGCAGTTGAAAAACAGATTTTCATAAAAAAACTGTAGTGTTCATTAAAGTTCATAATTCTTAATAATTTTTATTAAAACATGCAACATAATAATTTAATAACACAATCACTCGAGAGTAATATAAATTAGTAATAAGCTTTGATCACTACAAATATGTGTGATTCTTTAATCTGAATATCAAGTCAAGTTCTCATATTGGCAAAAAAAAAAAAATCAACTAAATAAATACTTTTTTTTACACTATTTACTGGGTGCAAAGTACATTCACGCACATAATGTGTTAATTATCATTATCTGATTAGCCATTAGGCTTTTACAATTGAATTTCAATTTATACAATTTATAAACCTGATCATTTTAAATTACTCAATAATAATAATAGATTTATACATAGTATTCAATAGTAAATGAAGATTTCGTATGTAGGTTTAGTTGTACAAAATTATAATAAAATCTCAATTTAAGATTTTTCTTTATTTTAATAAGTAAATAGTTTCTACTTTCTATTTTATTTTATTACGTAAAAGGAAAACATAATTTTACTACCTAAGTACTCACCACTTCATATTTACACCATTATGTAATATGTATTGCATTCATAAAATTATATGTATTGATTTATGATTCCATTTAAATATTCCTTTATATATATATCTACTTATCTACTTATACTTATCTATCTGCTTTGGATACTAATTTTCGAATTTTAAAAGAGACGTAAATCAGATAAAATTATAACACATACATTTTAAGTCATAAAGGTTGAAATTACACAACAATTTTTACCTATATTTTTTACAGATAATATACCATCATATGTAATATGCATGTATAATAAAAATCATTTATCAAGACTATTTTCAGATATCATTTTATTGCTTACACTATTGTTAGTGTATTATAGTAATGTTGAACGGAACGGAACAATATAATTTAGAAATTACAAAAATTGAACAAAGTAATTTGTAAATTATAGCTTATAAGCTATAAGCTTTATTTGTTTTTTAAATTTGAATAATTATTATTTTTCAGCACACCGATTATAATAAAATTGTATTGAAAAAATCCAACTTGTATTCGACGAAAAATTAAAAAATTTCAACAACTCTTAAGAAAGATAGAATGTGTTAAAATTATTCTTTAGTTACATACAATATATGGTTTTTGTGTTCATGAAAATAGATTGACTTATTTGAGCATGATCCAGTTAGAAAATGTGACAAGGTCGATTTTTAGCCTATAATGTTCAATCATTTTAAAATGGAAAAGTTTCAAATTTTTCTACTGAATGATCTCATCATCAAAATTAGAAGACACTTTCCATTTAGGTAGAATCGTAAAATTTAGCGCAAAGGTAACTCTTATAGTGTAAATAATGAAAAAAATATGATAATTGTAATTTTCTCAAAATAATCGGTTTTACACCTTGCCGTTGCTCTTCTAATTTTTTATGACTAATGAAAATTATGTATTTTGTTAGCTTAAACCAACAATATCCTCAATAAAAAAAAACCCAGCACAGTGGGGTCGCGGCATAGAGGGGACGTTGCATAGTTGGGTCCAGTATAGATTTAATCTGACAGTGATTAAAATCACTATCATAAGAAACGCTTCGATGCAAATCTGTAGATAGTGTTTAATTCTAAATTGATGGATAATCACAAAAGCCATCAACTTCTATTTCCTTAATTATACCCAGATTAGTACTTCTTTTAATTATATATTATATAATTTTATAAAATTAATTGTTTTCATATTATTATTGATTTTGATTTTTAATATGCTAAAAGTAATCATTTTGAACCTATTTTTTTTTGTCCTTTAAAGTGAAAGTTTTAATAAAAAAAAATGAATTTGTTACCACAACTTATAGTTCAACTTGCAAGTTTGAAACTGACATTATTAAATAGAAAAAAAAAACGGTAGCACAGTGGGATCGAGGCACAGTATAGACAAGACATAGATGGGACAAGTATAGATGATATTTGACAGTGATTAAAATCACTATCATAAGAAACGCTTCGATGCAAATCTGTAGATAGTGTTTCATTTAGAGAAATTGGTGGATTATTCCAAAAGCAACATCAACTCTTATTTCTTTGATTATATCCTAATTAGTAATTCTTTGATTTTAAAATATAATATATGAATAAATACTAATTATA